TGTGAGGTCATACTGTGTTCCATCACTTATGCTCACTTCTGTTGTGTACTACTTTATTGTCCACTTAGGTAAATTGACTTTGGGCTAATGTTGTTACATTTACCCATATATAATAGTACCTTCAAATATTATTTTCATATCGTGATTTTAGCCAGCACCCTAGTGAGGATTAAGCGGTGTGTAGTTGATGGATGGCTGGATTTTAGCCAGCTCTGTACTTGTGGTGTAGATTTCAATGTGGCTCGTTAATTTAGTCCAGAGTGGATACAAAAATTGTGGCATTTCTGCTAAGATGTTGATATTTGTCCCCCCCCCCCCTTTGTTTTTTTATGTTTGTAATTATGTCTCAAAAAATGCAGGGCAATTTGCCTCCAGATTTTCTCCGCACGTTAACGTGTACCTTAGGATAAAGTGTAATAGTTGGTGGTCTTTGACTGCATGTTGGTAATCTCTTAGTTTGTCCTCTACCGCCATCATCAGGTCAAAATTATAATTTGTCCAACACGTAAGTTAAGAACTAAATACCTGCCACACCCATCAGTCTCAGCTGTCTTTTGTGTTTAGTACCATCCATCCATCCATCATCTATACACCGCTTAATCCTCACTAGGGTCACAGGGGGCTGGAGTCTATCCCAGCTGACTTAGGGTGATGGCAGGGGACACCCTGGACAGGTCACCAGTCTATCACAGGGCTACACTTAGAGACAGACAACCAAGCACACTCACATTCATAACTACAGACAATTTAGAATCACCAATAAACCTCAACATGTTTTTGGACTGTGAGAGGAAGCCAGAGAACTCAGAGAGAACCCACACTGCATGGGGAGAACATGCAAACTCCACACAGAAAGATCCTGGTCATCCTAACCAGGACATGAATGGGGGATCTTCTAGCTGCGAGGTGACGGTGCTAACCACCACTCCACCTTGCAGCCCTGTGTTTAGTACTTATCAGCAAATGAAGATGGTGATGGTTGCACCTCCTAATGTTAGCTAGCATCAGCTGAATTTAGGTTAGAGTACTCAAGGGTTGAACACTTCAGTGGCTCACATCACACTTCATGTTTGTGTTAATACTCTGACCTGTAGAGGTTGTTTAATGGTATTCTTTTAAAAATAAATAAATAAATAAATATATATATATATGTAGCTTTTCTTAATTACAGCTAATAATTGAGCTTTTCCCACATTTAATTGTTTTGTTTATTTGTTTCATATAAATCTAATGTGTTTTAATATTTAGTGTTTGCCTACAAAAATAATGTCAAGTTAAAAATTTGATACTGAAATGTTTACTTGTAAAATCAAATATTTGTTAAA